TCTCTCTCTCTCTCTCTCTCTCTCTCTCTCTCTCTCTCTCTCTCTCTCTCTCCCTCCAGACAGAAGTAGAACAACACTACCTACAGAAACAGGCCAATACCAATGGGTACATCCTATTCTCCTGTACTCTGTGGGGACTAGCTAATTACGACATACCCAGTATAGTCCTGGAGCTGATACTGCAGGACATATCTAACTTTAGGGTCCTTCCTGATAGGCTGGGACAGGGTGTGGTTAATGAGCTAGTGTTAATGAGGTTAATGAAAGGGGCCTACTCCTCCCACCCACTCCTGCTGGTTAATGGTAGGAAGGTCATTGACCAGAGGAGGGTTCATTATTATGGGCTGTCACTGGGCGGAATAATGGGTGTGGTCTACATGGCATTGACTAATGATGTGGAGAGAGGTAACAATTATTAACTACTTACTATGATACATATTGATGCCATTATGCTGTGTAGCAAGTTTGAGCTGATTCCGACTTCAATTTTTCAAGTTACAGCCATTTTAAAAAATGGCAAAAATCTAAAAAATACCCAAGGCTATTATAGCCCATGGTTTTTTCTAAAAAATGGCTCCAAAATCACCCCAAATTTTTATTACATTTTCTGATACATATTGATGCCCTTATGCTGTGTAGCAAGTTTGAGCTGATTCCGACTTCAATTTTTCAAGTTGCGGCCATTTTAAGAAAATGGCAAAATCTGAAAAATACCCAAGGCTATAGCCCATGGTTTTTTCTAAAAAATGGCTCCGAAATCACCCCAAATTTTTATTACATTTTCTGATACATATTGATGCCCTTATGCTGTGTAGCAAGTTTGAGCTGATTCCGACTTCAATTTTTCAAGTTACAGCCATTTTTAAAAATGGCAAAAATCTGAAAAATACCCAAGGCTATTATAGCCCATGGTTTTTTCTAAAAAATGGCTCCGAAATCACCCCAAATTTTTATTACATTTTCTGATACATATTGATGCCCTTATGCTGTGTAGCAAGTTTGAGCTGATTCCGACTTCAATTTTTTAAGCTGTGGCCATTTTAAGAAAACGGCAAAAATCTGAAAATTACCCAAGGCTATAGTCCATGGTTTTTTCTAAAAAATGGCTCCAAAATTACACAAAATTTTTATTACATTTTCTGATACATATTGATGTACTTATGCTGTGTAGAAAGTTTGAGCTGATTCCGACTTCAATTTTTCAAGTTACAACCATTTTAAATAATAATATATGGATTAGTTAATTTATTTTATCCTTTGCATATTCATCTACTAAGACCATGCTTTATTAACAAAACTCACATGTACTTTTATTAATTACTATCATTATTATTATTATTAATTAGGTGTTTTGGGTGTGGCTGGCGGTTCATTTGGTCTAATATTACCAAGAAGTATTGACTTCACCAAGTACTGATACACACACAATAATACCAGTACTGTATAATGGGTACAGTGTAGTGTATACTGTACTGTATAATGGGTACAGTGTAGTGTATACTGTACTGTATAATGGGTACAGTGTAGTGTATACTGTACTGTATAATGGGTACAGTGTAGTGTATACTGTACTGTATAATGGGTACAGTGTAGTGTATACTGTACTGTATAATGGGTACAGTGTAGTGTATACTGTACTGTATAATGGGTACAGTGTAGTGTATACTGTACTGTATAATGGGTACAGTGTAGTGTATACTGTACTGTATAATGGGTACAGTGTAGTGTATACTGTACTGTATAATGGGTACAGTGTAGTGCATACTGTACTGTATAATGGGTACAGTGTAGTGTATACTGTACTGTATAATGGGTACAGTGTAATGTATGGTCACTGATTGTGTCTCTTTCTTTTAGTAATTTTGTGTTCATTCGTGGGTTGTATCCTGATCCTGTTGACTTTATAATAATGATGAGTATGATCAACATGATATGGGCCAGGTATAGAATAGTATTTTATTTATTTATTTTATTTATTTATTTATTTCCAGAGGTGGTCCCAATGGTTTCATGAGTCATGTTACCAACAATACACTACATAACACCACTGAACACCAGGTACTACTGTTGTTGTTATTATTATTATTATTGTTGTTGTTGTTGTTGTTGTTGTTGTTGTTGTTGTTGTTGATGTTGTTATTGTTATTAGTATTATTATTATTATTAATTGCTGTAGATATTATATCAATATGCTCTTGGTGATGCTCAAGTTAATATTTTGGTAAACTATTACACATCAAATTCACACTCACCCCTTGTTACTGTACGACTGGTTTTATTAAGTAAAGTTACTCAAAAACCAAGTAAAAGTCCCTGTGGTATAGTACATGGTTTTTTGGCTAAATTTCATCAAAAATGAAAAGGAGAGAGTCCTCCATTATATCATTTCCTGATACATATTCATGTACAGTGTAATCTCCATCTTCCAGTTCCTATTCCTTGTTACTGCAGGGGCTCTATACAGTATCCAGATCCACTGGTGCCCTCATGTTTGCTGATAATGTAAAGGAACAGTATAAACCTGACCCGACCAGTAATGTGGTACTGGAGGAGAATTTATTTGGATTTAAGTTAATTAATGAAAGTATAATGAGAACTTCTGGAGCCATTGGGTTTGATTGTGGAGCTCCTCCAGAACCAGCTGTAAGTATTTATTAATGAGAATATACTGCAGGGGGCTATACTAATGGACCCAGCTGTAAGTATTCATTAATGAGAATATACTGCAGGGGCTATACTAATGGACCCAGCTGTAAGTACTCATTAATGAGAATATACTGCAGGGGCTATACTAATGGACCCAGCTGTAAGTACTCATTAATGAGAATATACTGCAGGGGCTATACTAATGGACCCAGCTGTAAGTATTCATTAATGAGAATATACTGCAGGGGGCTATACTAATGGACCCAGCTGTAAGTACTCATTAATGAGAATATACTGCAGGGGCTATACTAATGGACCCAGCTGTAAGTACTCATTAATGAGAATATACTGCAGGGGCTATACTAATGGACCCAGCTGTAAGTATTCATTAATGAGAATATACTGCAGGGGCTATACTAATGGACCCAGCTGTAAGTATTTATTAATGAGAATATACTGCAGGGGCTATACTAATGGACCCAGCTGTAAGTATTCATTAATGAGAATATACTGCAGGGGCTATACTAATGGACCCAGCTGTAAGTACTCATTAATGAGAATATACTGCAGGGGCTATACTAATGGACCCAGCTGTAAGTATTCATTAATGAGAATATACTGCAGGGGCTATACTAATGGACCCAGCTGTAAGTATTCATTAATGAGAATATACTGCAGGGGGCTATACTAATGGACCCAGCTGTAAGTATTCATTAATGAGAATATACTGCAGGGGCTATACTAATGGACCCAGCTGTAAGTATTCATTAATGAGAATATACTGCAGGGGGCTATACTAATGGACCCAGCTGTAAGTATTTATTAATGAGAATATACTGCAGGGGGCTATACTAATGGACCCAGCTGTAAGTATTCATTAATGAGAATATACTGCAGGGGCTATACTAATGGACCCAGCTGTAAGTATTCATTAATGAGAATATACTGCAGGGGCTATACTAATGGACCCAGCTGTAAGTATTCATTAATGAGAATATACTGCAGGGGCTATACTAATGGACCCAGCTGTAAGTATTCATTAATGAGAATATACTGCAGGGGCTATACTAATGGACCCAGCTGTAAGTATTCATTAATGAGAATATACTGCAGGGGCTATACTAATGGACCCAGCTGTAAGTATTCATTAATGAGAATATACTGCAGGGGGCTATACTAATGGACCCAGCTGTAAGTATTCATTAATGAGAATATACTGCAGGGGCTATACTAATGGACCCAGCTGTAAGTATTCATTAATGAGAATATACTGCAGGGGCTATACTAATGGACCCAGCTGTAAGTATTCATTAATGAGAATATACTGCAGGGGCTATACTAATGGACCCAGCTGTAAGTATTCATTAATGAGAATATACTGCAGGGGCTATACTAATGGACCCAGCTGTAAGTATTCATTAATGAGAATATACTGCAGGGGCTATACTAATGGACCCAGCTGTAAGTATTCATTAATGAGAATATACTGCAGGGGGCTATACTAATGGACCCAGCTGTAAGTATTCATTAATGAGAATATACTGCAGGGGCTATACTAATGGACCCAGCTGTAAGTATTCATTAATGAGAATATACTGCAGGGGCTATACTAATGGACCCAGCTGTAAGTATTCATTAATGAGAATATACTGCAGGGGCTATACTAATGGACATCTTGGAAGGCAGGGGGCCGGGGCATATTTGGGTAAATTTCACCTCAAAATTTTTAACAATTTCTCATTTAACCTCATAGTGGGCAACAATTTTGACCTAAAATTTGATAATAATTATTATCTTGAATTGAATGAAAACTTTGCCTACTACATACACATGATATGTTACGGTATTACATTGTCATTGTCCTTATTGTTGTATTGTTCTTATGTTCCTCCTGTTAATGTACCCACAGGGTAATGTCCCTCCTGATGCTAGTACTGATACTCATGAGATACCAAGAAGAACTAAACTAGCTCAACAACAATTTGTAAGTTTATTAGTTTATTAATAACATTATATCACTTCTCTCTCTCTTATTCTCACTGTTAGGATTCATTCATTAAAAGTGGATTAATTATTAATTATTGTAATGGACCATGTACTGACTGTACTCAACCATCCTAACTAATAATAATGTATTGTACAACTCTTTTATATGGCCGTTTATATATTTTATATTTTTTATACATAATTTTTAATAGTACCAGTTCCTACAATCCATTCATTGTGTAGAAAGACACTAGCTAGCATCAGAAATTATACATAAATACCATGAAGTAAATTAATTAGCAGTGTGACACGCCCATTTCAGCAGGCCACACTCATTAAAGGTGGGGCTCGCTCAAAGATTCTCTAATATCAATTTTGCTGTTCTCTCGGCCTGTACACTTCCTCTTGTTCTTGTAGCTATTGTAGTCTATCCTGATATACTGGAGCTACCTCTAGTCACTGTACCTGAATATTGTTACAACAATTCAAAAGGTAAGAAGGTTATGATGTACTGTATAAGGTAATGTAATTACTAAAACTAAGCTAAAAGTACTTGCAAAATACTTCTAGTCTACCTCCTACATAAGCAAAAGAGAGAGAGATAGAAATTGGTTAGGACATTACTGTAAAATGACCAAATTTAGTCAAAACACGGTCAGTAATTACAATACTAACTGTAGTAGAGGAGTGGTACTGTCACAAAATTTTTTGTCCGGGGCAAAAAATTGTCCTAGCTCTATACTTCCATGTGTATTATAAATATAAACACTAAACCTCAACCCAACCCTAATCTAAACTGTACTGTGTATAGACCACTCGCGTGTTAGGTAACACTTCTTTGAAGTCGGTAAAACATTGGGGTACAGGTGGTCAGGCACACCCACTGGTTGGCAAAAAGCAAAATGACTGCACCAGATGTAAGCATTATGTCTTTGTTTGAGGATGCCAGAAAGCAGCTACGTTGCAAATCTGGAATCTGTTGGTTAGATGATCAATGA